CTCGGTGGTGCCAGGCCTGCCTCGAAAGCACAAGGTCTTGAGTTTGATCCCCAGTACAGAAAAACAAATAAACAAACACAAAACCTTTAGAGAAAAAAGGAGAGGAAGACAAAATAAAGAATATACAGGAAAGATGGAAAGAGAAAAAAGAAAATGAGATAGGCCGACTATCAGAAAGGCAGAGAAACACAGAGACAGCAAGAGATCAAGAGAGAGGTGTGATTGTGAAAGATAGAATGCAAGTCAGTTAACTATCTCCTCTGGGCACATCTTCCTTCAAGGGGCAGACTACAGACTCAGACACAGAAACCAGGACCTGTCAAGAAAATGAGAACAACACAAATACACCAAGTCAGAATAAGACCCAGCCTGCACAACAACAGGCTGTGTGCACCCTGAGGGTACTAACAAGACACACACTCCTAAATATACACCCCCAAGAGAGGAAGAGTCCTATCCTGAAATATTGCATAAATACAGAAAAGACCTTTGCTTACTTAATGTGTGAGCTATGGTTTGCACCCTTTCATAGAAAGGCAAATTAAGAAGAAGTGACTGGCATAGATGATTACTAACTCCCTTTTGGTTTTCTTGCCTTCCTTCATTCTTGTTTCATTTTTTTTTTTTTTTTTTTTTGGTACCGGGGATCGAACTCGGGACCTTGCGCTTGTGAGGCAGGCGCTGGAACCACTGAACTAAATCCCCGGCCCCATTCTTGTTTCTAAAAATGCCCTGAAGTTAAATGGTATTTGAGCAAACTAGAGTTCTATGGGCTGAAAAAAACCTTATTTATTAATATTAATATTAATATTTTTAGACTTCTTAGAACACTAAGTATTGATGTGTTCATTAAATAAAAGAATGATGTAGACCATCCTATCTCTAGCCAAATGGGCCAGCTCCTGCGCCCATCGTCTTGTCTCAGCCATGACCTTGGCCATATTATTCTATTGGAATGCTCTCTAGTGCCCTCTTCTGGTGCCTGGCTGAACCTCTCCATTCCACTCCTACCTCCACCTATCCAAACACTGCTCCTGCTTTCAGTGGAATTTATGACAAACTCCACGCCCCAGCATTAGTCTCACCCAAGCTAGGGATGTAACTCTTGTTGCCAAATCCAGTGGATCCCTTTCCATTTTCATCTCAAGGGACCTCTTAGGGGCAGGCAACACTAGGATTACTGTTCCCTTTACAAAGTTCTTGCTCTGTGAGGTTGAGGTCCCACTCTGTCTGATGGTACTGTTGTTTGTCTGACCTCTTCTCCGTGCGGAGTTCTTTTTCCTCTTTCCCTCCTTGAAATACTGGTGTTCCTCCAGACTCTGTCTCTGGTCAGCTCCCTTCCTGCCCTCATGTTGTCCCCCAGTGGTATTTTGCTGTGAGGTCTGTGTCTTGCAGTCACCACAGGGAAAGGACATGTTTCACTATCCTCAGTCTGCCCATTCATGAAAGAAAAATTCAAGCTCTTTTCCTTATTTTCCATCTATATGATACCAAGGGAGCTGGCTTCCTAGAGAAGTTTTGCATTTCATGGGAACAGCTTTAGTCCTGGAGGTCTGAAGAGGAGCTGGGCCTCTCATCTGTATGGCTTCATCTTGTTCCCCTTTCAAAGGTCTCTGTCTCCTTGCTCAAGCTAGTTCCCTTCCCCTGGGAAGGAGATCATCCTCAACATGTTTCCAGTTGACACAAGTGATCATCATGTTAATGGACCTTTTGTGTAGAATTATTCAGAGCTAGACAGCAGCTGTGACAGAGTTAGAGGCTATTACTAACTACTCATCAGTGCTGAGTTGAGGGACATCCAAGCCAGCATGCCAGGGACCTTGCCCGAAGGGGCTGCCAGGCTAGTTGAAGGGACAGGATACCTACCCTGATGAGGAGCGTTAGCCAGCTAGGGTGAGGCATGGCATGGGACAACGGTGTATGTTACAGGCAGGAAATGCTTGGTAAGCCCAGGGGAAGAAGGGATAAAAATCATTGGGGCTGGTCCCAGGGGTGGTATTCAGAACAGTGACTGCCTTTTATTGAACCCCACACACTGTATGTCAGCACTCTCGGAACCCACCCCCCCCATCTGACCTCAGGAGCTGTGGTGAGGACTACATTGTAGAGCTTTTATCAAGTTCCTAGTGAACTCACAAGTGAACATGCAATAAATTGCAGCTATCACTCATTTAACAAATATTTGTGCTGGGGATTTAGCTCAATGGTTCCGCCGCCTGCCTCGCAAGCGCAAGGTCCCGAGTTTGATCCCTGGTACCAAAAAAAAACAACAACAACAAATATTTGTGTCATATCTACCATGTGTTGGACTGTATATGGTTGCTGGAAAAACAATGCCAAGCACAATGTCTGTGTTTTCTGCCTTCAGTGACTTACAGGAGAGAACTCTACACACTGCCCAATATGATAGCCAGTGGCCACTGTGTGGGGGGGGGGATCCTCAGTCACACTAGCTGCATTAAATGTCCCCAAAGAGCCACAGTGGATGTGGATGATGTCACTGCAAGATGTCCTATTGGCCAGCACTGGAAAAAGCAGAGAAACAATAAGCCATTGCACACCTATACTGTAGAGGCTATTAGGTGCAAAAAGAGAGTACTATTATTATTACTATGCTCACTACAATCAAGATACAAAAATTGAGGCTCAGAAATTGAAGTTAGCAATTGGGCCAAGTTCACACTCAGCAGAATTGTTTAAGGGAAGAGCTGGGATTTGAACCTAGGTGTGTCCTACTGCAGTGCTATTCTCAGGCTGTGATTAAATGAGACAAGTGCAAGTAGAAACTGGATAAAGAGAGAAGACAAAGAAGGTACCTCTTGTGGGAAACTGACAGTTTGGGCAAAGGCACAGAGGCACAGGTGGGCAAGGCTGGCAGAGGACCACAAACAAACCAGTCTGGCTGGAGAGGCAGTGGCTTGCTGAACTCCTGTCCGCTGAGAGCTAAGTTGAGACCTGCCCGCCTTGATTAAAAGCCAAGGAGCTGGCAACTCAGCCCTGTGTGTAGAAGTTGAGTCCGTAAAGACCAGAAGGTAGGGGCATGGCCTGGTGAGAACCACACATTATAAAGAGGGCAATGCTGCGCATGAACTGGCCAAGATCAAAACTAGGGAAACCGGTTAAGGACTGTAGGGTGGTTAGAAAGGTGGAGTCCAAATGAATCCTGTGAACCAAAGAACGGCAGCCTGAAAGCCTGTCTCAATACTGTGTGACATTGGGCAATAAACTTGACTTCTCTGGGTCTCAGTTGTTCAACTCTAAAAGGGTATGGCCGGCCCCAACTATTTTTGAGGCTCCTTTGTGCAATGGTTGTCTAGATTGTGCAAATGCAAATGACATTAGGCTGAGAGAAGTACTGGGAATTGTAGCGTTGAATACAGGCATAGGGAAGATGGCAGCCAAAGACCATCCTCAGATGAAGGGGGATGAGGGGTGAGTCATGCAGAAAACCAGGTAAGTGTGTGCAAGAACTTGCCTTCTGAGGTAGTGGAGTGGGCATGGGAAGTTTGGGAAAGATAAGTAGTGAGAAAATAATGGGTTTGTTTGTAAGAAAATGGTACAGTGTTAATGATCATTATTATACGCCCCAAAATAATAGCTTTTAAACTTTTTTGACCTATGACCCACAGTAGGAAATCCAATTTACATCATGGTCCTCCGTGTTTGTCTAGAACATGTAACTGAAGCAAAAGGTTTGTGAAACACTAGTTGTCCTTACTAAGGGCAACGGACTCTGACGTTTTCGATTGGATTCTATTTCAATTCTTTTAAAAAGCTGATTGTCATTCACCGAATTCATTGTATGATCTAGTCCTCTGTCACAATCCAGAATTTTAAGAACACTGCCTAAAAGGATCCAACAAGTCTTAAGCCGGAGGGTGGGAAGGTGTCCTATGCAAACACTCAGAAGAGAGGTGTAGCTGGAGCTCGAATCCCAGAGGCCTGAGCAGCAAGGCCTGGGACCCACGCAGAGGGAACTTCCCACCCAGGTGGTGGAGGCGGGGCCCTCCAGACAGTAGAAGCAAGAAGGAGACCGAGAGCAGGATGGAGTGGAATCCAAGCTCCACGGACGAGCTTCTGCACCTCTGACAGTGCACTGATTTGCAAAGGTCCGGCACCCACCGGTCCTCCTGGGAGCCCGGTGCAAGCCCACTCCCTTGCCCATTCATTCATTCCCCTGCGGTCTCTGGAAGCGCGGGAGGGTGAGACACTTTGCCAGCTGATGTCTGTAGTCCATCACCGTCCAAGTCCCGACACGCGCGATCCCCTCCCCATGCACCCCACGCGCACACAAACGCACCCCACGTGTACACAGATGCACACACACACACACACGCACATGCACCCTACGCGTGGCCTGCACACACACATACACGCACATACACGCGCACACAAAGTTCCACTTGCTCCCTGCGCAGGCTGGCTGTCCCGTGCTCGCCGGGCCCACGCACGATCGTGGCCTGGCGCACTGGCGCCGGCCCTGACCCCGCTGCCCGCACCCGCCGTGCCCCGCGCTCGGCCCTGCCCGCCTCGCATCCGTGCCATCGGCGCTCGATTGCGCACGGGCTCCTGGTCTCTCCCGGCTCGGC